GAGGAGTCAAACAGACCCAGCTTTAAAGCCTGATTTCTTACCAATTGTGAGACCTTGGGCAACACATTTAACTTCCTGCACCTTAGCTTTCTTATCTTTAAATGAAGACAGCGAAAGTGTTTTCCTGTGGTTCTCATCATCCTGGCCTCAGCTCCACTGTCCTAGAGTGGCCTTCCCTGACAATTTTATCTGAAATGATTCCTCCCCAACGCTTTCTACCACGTGACCTTGCTCTATTCTTAGCACTTCCTAGAAGCTGAAATTATTTAACTTTTTTTTTTTCTGTTGGCTGTTTAATGTGTTTATTTCTTAGCAGTATAAACTCTTTGAGGATAGGCATCTAAGCGTGAGTGCTCAAACAATTGCTGGAGACCAATTAGGATTGCTGTGAGAATTGAATGAGAAAACCTAAGTCAAGTTAGCATTGTACTCGACACAACCAAATTTCTAACAAGTCACGATCACTTAACAGATACATAGATTGTACCTAACTATGTGTTAGGCACTGTTTTTACAAAAGGCAAATTAACTCATTCCGCCTCTCTTTACTCCGATGAGGTAGAATCCCATCATGAACATTTTGTAAATGAGGAAACTAAGTCACTTAGAGTAACTTGCCCGAGATCAGCTAAGTAAGGATTCAAAAACCGGGCTTGAAATCAAACTCTGACGCACTAAGTTTTGCTCCCTTTGAAGAAAGTAGTAATGTTGACATTTTTTATTTGGGGTATATAAAGGAATGGGAAAAACGCAGGGCATTGCTTAGCCTAAGCGGATCTGAATCTTTTGTCCTTCCTCTGATTTGGGGGGAAATGCAGTGGGTGTCAGGGGAGGGAGACCTGGCCCTTGTACAAGTCAGAGCCCGTTCCGGGGTGTCCGGGGAGCAGCCAGCATCCTCCGAGGCGGGCCAGGTCCCCGCCCGCCCGCCAGCCAGCGCCTCCCCGGCCCCCGCCCGCCCGCCCAGGGCCGCCGCGTGGCCACGCCGCACCCGGACCCTGGGAAAAAAAAGTTTCCAAACGCCGCTGCTCGCTGCTGATTGGCCGCGGCGGACGCGGTCCCGTGGCGCGGCAGCCAATGGGGGCCGCGGGCCGCGAGCGCTAGGGCGGGGGCGGGCCCCCCCCCCCCCCCCCCCCCCCAGGTCCCGGCCGCACCGCCCTCTGCTTCTGCCGCCTCCTCTGCTGCAGCCGCCGCCCGTCCTCGCCGCCTTCGCTCGGGTGAGTGCGGAGCCGCCGCCGCCACCGCCGCCGCCGGGGCTGAGGGCAGCCTGGGGGCCGCCTCCGCCGCCGGGAAACTCTCTGCCCCCGCCCCGCCGCCAGGTGCGCTCCGGGACCCCCCCCCCCCCCTTGGCCGCCGCGGTGCCGAGACCCCGGGGCTCCCCTCGCCTGCGCGTCGCTTCCTAGCCGCCCGGACTCTGGCGGTCCCGGGCACTGGGTTCGAAATTCCCGCTTCCCTGGAACCTCTCTTGCTGCTAACTTTGTGCCTTCCTACTCCCGGGTCCCCGAGCCCCGGGCAACTTTCTTTCTCTTGCTGCCCTCCTTGACTTCGTTGGCCAGCCTTCTGCCCTCCACGTTCCCAGCCCTCGCTGCTCTGCTGCTCTGCTCCCCTGCTCCCTCCCGCCCCGGACTCCCCTCCTGGACCCCCCTAGTCTCTTTTCTCGCCTGTGTTCTGCCCCCTCCTCAATCCCCATCCCCCCCCCCCTTTCCTTCCGCTGCCCCCCATCCTCCCCTACATGTCTCGTAGCTCTCCTTCCTTCTGGCCCACTTCCCCACCCTCTTCCACACTCTTTGCAGGCCTCTTTCCAAAAACCTCCTTCCTCCACCTCCCTCCTCCCCTCCGGGAACGTCTCCTTTCCTCCGCGTTTCTCAGGTCTCTGCTGCAGGACGGTTCAGATTTCCTCTGACAGCACTTTGGGGACGGATTGGATAAAGGATGAAAAAAAAACCCCGCTTCTACAGCTTGAATGCTGCGGCTGGGCTTACCGACCTCTCCGAGGTCATGGGAAACCCCGTCACCCCCGGGGACGCCGCTTTTGGGGAAGCTGCTTTATCTGCTCCCGTCTTCTCAGGTTCTCTGCCTCCCGAGGGGTCTGAACTTCCCTGACTTCTTTGTTCAGGGTTTGTACTAAGCTTGTGTCTTTTCTGCTGGTAGCCCGAGGCCCCTTTTCACTTCTTTCTGGAGAAATGGCCTTTGCAACGTGCGCTGGGCAGATATTGGTTGTTTCCCCGAGCTAGTTTTGTGTGTGTGGTAGAGGATAGGATGGCATTTTAGGACATGGGTAGGGTGCTTTGAAGAGGGATTGAATCCCAGTGACTCCCAGAGACACTTGGTACCTGACACCGCCCAAACACACACACACACACACACACACACACACACACACACACACCGGTATCCAATCCGTTTTGAAACTTCAGTCTTTTTCCTCTTGGTGTATCTTTTATGCATAATTAGATCCAGATGATCTATGTCCTTGAAGTCTCAGGAGCCGCTCTCTGGTTGGTATATTTTATCCCATTTTGGATAAGTGTGTTCTTTTGGCTTTGAACATGCGAACCAGAGAAATTGCACTACCTTTCCCTTAAAGACAGCGTTCTAACATGAGCACACCTGTGTACAGAAAGCTGGTGTCAGCTACTAGTGCTGTGTTTGCATCCAGTACCAATGTAGATGCTTTGTAACCGCCTCTCCCAGCTGTGCCTGAACACTTAGTAGGTGTTTCAGAAATGTTTGAAAAGGGATAGAGGAGGGGGAAAACCACAGTAGGAAAAACTCATTCCCTGGCATTTTGGTTCAATAGAAAAAAATTACCCTGGAACAATAGCTATTCTATTTTTATTTTTATTTTTTTTATTCGGGTTAAAATTTCAAAAGCAAAATATGCTTAATGTGAAAGTCAAGGTATAAAGTATTATGTCAGGTGTAAATTCTCATCTCAGTGCCTGCTTTACCCACATTCTGGTACATCCTTCTAGACCAGTGGTCGGCAAACTCATTAGTCAACAGAGCCAAATATCAACAGTATGACGATTGAAATTTCTTTTGAGAGCCAAATTTTTTTAAACTTAAACTTCTTCCAACGCCTTTTCTTCAAAATAGATTTGCCCAGGCTGTGGTATTTTGTGGAAGAGCCACACTCAAGGGGCCAAAGAGTCGCAGTTTGCCAACCACGATTCTAGACCCTTTTTATAGAAAGAAGGGAGATAGATTTGTAAACAAAAATGGTGTTGTTTCTTAATATGTCATGAACTTTCTCCCATTTTAGTACATATAATTATTTTTAAATAATTTTATTATTATTTTTGTATAGTTTTATTGACTTCAAAAAGGAAGAAAGAGAGAGCTAGAAACATCAATGATGAGAACCATTGGTAAGCTGCCTTCTGCATGCTCCGCTGGGGATCAGCCTGCAACCCAGACATGTGCCCTTGACTGGAATCGAATGCTTCAGGCCGCAGGCTGATGCTTTACCTACTGAGCCAAACCAGTTAGGGCAGTACATATAATTCTTAACAACTTCATAGTTTTCCAATCAGTCCTCTGTTGACAGTTAAGTTTGTCTAGTTCCCACATCAGTGAATTGATGGTGTACAGCCATGAGTATTTGTCCTTGAATGCCTGTTTTTTAGGTAGATCATTATAGACGTGGAAAGCACAAAAACAGAAGCCAGACTTGCTGGCTCTTGACAGATCTTGTCCCAGTGATATCACCTCTGCAAAATGCAAAGCCTGCTTCCTCAGGTAGAAGCTGTGGGAGCACGTGCTGGCATTTAGCAACTTCTTTCTCTCCCTTCCTTTCCCTTCGGCTCTTCCGTTTGTTTTGATTGGGAAGGATTGGGGTTGCGGTGGAGAAGGGCGGTGAGTTAATTCCTGATGGTTTATAGGTGTGTATTGCTTCTGACCAGCATGCGCTGGCTTTCTTCACTCAGAGGGAAGCCAGGAGAGATTGCTTAGTTGTTGTTTTTCTGCTTTTGAAATCAAAGGCATGTGTCTCAAGTGTGTTTTCAGACTTCTCTGATAACTTTAATCATGGAAAACACACACACACACACACCAAAAAAAAAAACCCACAAAAAAACCCAAAAACTTGAAGCACATTTTTGTAGGAGTGATAGTTCTAAGTTATATAAAATAGATACTTTTTGAATCACTTGTCTCCATTTGTTCTTCTGTGCGTGCTGTAGAATATACAGTTGAGGTGCCCATTAGATTTGTCCATGATGGTGGGACACTATGACATGCTGGTGTATTGAAAACACAAGATAGACTAAATGCCGGTAGCACAGATGAAATAGAGGCATGAATGAAGTATCGGTTTTTAAGATTGTGGGTACAAGGTGTGTATATCATTACCAAGAGTTAACACCTGCCTGTCACGGGGCCTTTTAAAAGACTGCGTGGGCCAAATGAAATGAGTGATTTTGATCTCTAATCAGTCTGTTTGCAATCCCAAGGAGACCTTGAACTTGAATTTAAAGACAACTCCTCAACCCCACTGTCTGTTTTACAATGTTTCTGCTCCAGCTTTAAAAAAACCAAGTGATTGTCTTGCTTACTCTTTTTTTTTTTTAATATATATTTTATTGATTTTGTACAGAGAGGAAGGGAGAGAGAGAGCTAGAAACATCGATGAGAAAAGAGTCATCGATCAGCTGCCTCTTGCACACCCCCTACTGGGGATATGCCTGCAACCAAGGTACATGCCCTTGACCGGAATCAAACCCGGGTCCCTTCAGTCCCCAAGCCGACGCTCTGTTGAGCTAAACCGGTTTCAGCGTGTCTTGCTTACTCTTAACAGCTGAATGGCCTTAAAGTGACAAAATTGTTTATAAATGCCCAGCACACAGCAGATAGAAGGTGATGTTAAAATTCAGTAGATAATGCTGGAAGAAGGGAACCTTTGCAAGTCATCTTACCTGCTTTCTGTGGCAGAGAATAACAGAACTTTGAGACATTTTCACATGGCAAAGGAAACAAACATTTTTTTAAAGATTGCTGTTTCAGTGCTTGTCTCCACAGCATATATACTAAAATTGGAAAGATACAGAGAAGTTTATCATGGACCCTGTGCAAAAAGGACACACAAATTTGTGAAGCGTTCCATATTAAAAAAAAAAAAAAAAAAAAAAAAAGATTGCTGTTTTAAAACAAAGCCGTTACTTCTTCCCTCTTACCTGTAATATATTTTTTCTCTTCCGTTAGGATTGTTTTTGAAGTGCAGAGGTTTTTGGTTGAAATGCAGGCGGTGGTTTTTACCTTTAGTTGAAGGAATCAGAGATTTAGAGAAGGGAGTGCAAGCTGTGACTTGCTCAGGTCTCTGCTTAGTTTCTCCCCAGTACCTGAAGTCCAAAACCAGATCCTTCCCATCAGCATGGCTGCATTTAGAGCCCCTCCCACAATGGAAGTGCCTCCTGAAACATCACAAATTAGTTTCTTCCTTCGGGATTAAGTTTTGAACCTCACTGGCTGTGATAACAGTATTTTAAGGAGCCCTTTTCTAAGCCTCGTCTGTCATAAGCGTGTAGGATGAGGTTATTAAATTCCAGTAACTATATCAGAAACTCCTTATCATGTAAACCGGAGGAGGGGGTAGTTTCAAACATGGCATCCTGTCCTCCAACACCTTCCCATCAAGGAGGTGCCACCCAGGTGCTGAGGGAGAGGGTTTCCCCATCCTGATAAGCATCTTAAGGATTTACAGATAAAAATTATAAAGTAGTCTTCAGAGGGTCTCTTGCTTCTTGCCTTTTCTTAACCTCATATCTCCATCAGCTAGTGGCCAATCTCTTTCTTCCCCTATATATGTTCATTCCATAAGCATTTATTGAATGCGTGTCAATGTTGGGGATAAAAAAAGATGGAGAAATCCTAATGTTCAACAACTGACATTCCAGTGAGGGATGATAAACAAAAACAAAGCTCATAAAGTGATAACACAAAGTTGGGTTAGTATGATACTGAAGGGCTGGAATGGATATTTGGTCATATTAACGTAATGTCATCTCTGTGGGGAAGACATTTTAGCTGAGATCTGAATGGCAAGAAGGAAACCTGCTGAGAAATCTGAAGGAAAAGCATTCCAGGCAAAGAGAACAAGTGCAAAGGCCCTGAGGTAGGGCCAGCTTGTTGTGTTAAAGCAACAGAAAGAAGGCAGTGTGGCTGGTGCATAAGCAAGAGGGGTAGGCAGGTGGGAAACGCTTAGAGAAATAGTCAGGGACTAAATATAAATATGGTGAACTTTGGACATGATCTTTTTTGCAAACAACAGGAAAAGTCAGTATACATTCATTGTCCCTAGTTCCTTACATTGTCACCCTACTTTACACAGACTTCCTTCCATGCATTTGTCCTTAAAAAGATCACTAATGGCCACACAGTGCTCAGTTACAGTTGCATGGGCTCTGTGCTCTGGACACTATAGACATTGGTTTGGTGACTGCCTATTAGCTGTGTTCTGGGCTCGTTGGAGCTTATGGGTTGAGCAGGAAGCACCATACCTAGGTTCACCCTTTCTGGTGCCATGCTAATTACTGTTATTTACCCTCTAGGACTAGGTACTCAATTCTTTTTACTTTCAGCAAATAAGACCTATCACTTTTTTTATATATTAAGTAGCATTCTCTTGTGACAGAAACCCAACCCTATCTGGTACAGCTAAGAAAGGGAGTTGGTTATCTCTCATAACTGTAGATTAGGTACAGCTGGATCCAGTCGCTCAAACAGTGTCATCAGGACCCAATCCCTCTACCTCTTGGTCCTGCTTTCCTATGTTTTGGCTTCATTCCCTGGCTGTCTCCTCTCTTGCAGTAGAAAGATGATCATTGGCCCTGACTGGTTTGGCTCAGTGGCTAGAGCTTTGGCCTGCGGACTGAAAGGTCTCAGGTTCGATTCTGATCAAGGGCATGTACTTTGGTTGCAGGCACATCCCCAGTGAGGGGGGTGCAGGAGGCAGCTGATCGATGTTTCTTTCTCATCGATGTTTCTAACTCTCACTCCCTCTCCTTTCCTCTTTGTAAAAAAACCAATAAAATATATATTACAAAAAAGAAAGAGAGAGAGAGAGAGGGAGGGAGGGAGGGAGGGAGGGAGGGAGGGAGGAAGGAAGGAAGGAAGGAAGGAAGGAAGGAAGGAAGGAAATAAATTAAGATAGATGATCATTGGAACTCTGGGCTTAAACTCCTACCATCTAACAAACCCTAGTGGAAGAGTTAATTTCTTCTCCCCCCTCCCGCCAGCTTTATGGTTATACTAGTAATTGACATTTAAAATTGTGTAAGTTTAAGGTGTACCACATGATGGTTTTATGCATGTCTGTATTGCAAAGTGATTATCACAATAAGATTAGTTAACACTTCCAGAGACTTTGTTTCTTGATAGCTTTGCAAAAGGTGTGGGTCTGGGCACTTGTTGGTTTAGCTTGAGTTAGGCCCATCCTTGTTATTGGCTTAGCTTGGGGTAAGTCCAGCCCTGCACCAATGACTATTCAGCTTGCGTAAGGCTGATCCCTGTCATTGGCTCATCGTTGGGTAGGCCCACCCGTAAGCCAGTTGCTGGTGCTGGAGGCATGAGTAGTCATGTGCCTTCTCCCAGGTGCAGAAGATGATGTCAAGTTCATCAGAACCACATGGAAAGAGTGTAGAGTCAGTTTCTCCAAGGGAATGTTGGGATACTGTTACAGGAAGATGGAAGAAGGAATGCTGGACTAGAAAAAAAATCAACGTATTAACAGCTTTCTACTCCATTTGGCCTCACTGCTTAGCGAGTTTTTAGAGAGGTTGTTTTCAAAAGGGTGTTGGTGGGAGGTCTCATGGCATGCTTTCTCTGAATTAGGGAAGAGGAGAAATTAGGAGGGCTACAAGATGTGCATACAGTTAGTTACTAGCAAGTGTAAAGTTATCAGTTAAGTGCCATGCTCACGTGTAGGTATTATTGTTCAAATTCTGCCAGAGATCCAGCAGTTGGTGATTGTATTCATGCCAGCACTGACATATGTAGCCGAGTTATTTGTACTTTTAGCCCAAAATACAGCTTCTTGGTTATGCCTTGCAAAGTGAGGGGCTGAGTTCATTCTTTTGTCCCCAAGGACACACACTGCCGACTGTGAGCTCCTTTGAAGGAAGGAAGGGACCTCAGAGGCATCTAATTTGGGTTTCCCAGTGACCTTTTGACAAGCTCAGAGCCTTTAATAAATTCAGAAAATAAGCTATTATATCCAGAGGCTCCATCAGCAGGGAGTCTATAAACTGACAACTGTTAATATTATAGAACGTTTCCTAACTTCTGCTCTGGTTATCTCAGAATCCTCAGAGCTGAAGCCACCTCTCCCTCCCCCAACTCCCCTCTCGCTGTGGTCTACTTTGTCTCCTTTTCTACTCACACCCAGTTCTCCAAAACCCCATGGACTTCCTCTTCCTCCCCTCCCACGTGCTCCTCCACCCAGCTTACTTCTCCTCCCTCCTCCATTGTGTTGAAACATTCTTGCTCATATTACCAGTGACCAACATTTTGCTAAGTCTGTTGGATATTTTCCAATCCTTATCTCACCATCTTCTCTGTTGCATCATGGATACTGTGGAGTGTTCCCCCCCCCCCATTCTCCCTCGTTTCTCCTCCCCCCCCATTCCTCCCTCTTCCCCATGACACCATCTACGCCAGAACACTATCTATGCTCTCTGTTTCTCCTCTGTCTCCTCCGATTACTGTTCTTTCCTTGCCCCCCTTTTCAATCATTGGCATTCCTCAGAGTTCCATAAATAGCCCTCCTTAGATTCTCCAGCGGTTCCGTCACAAGAAAAAAGGAAAGAAACCGCTTCAAACTCATAACTCGTAAATTTGTATCGTTAGTCCAGAATTTACCTCCGAGTTTAAGATTCGGTGTTGCATCTCGATGTGTCGTGGGCATGTCACACGAATAGTATCTCAAACTGGGGTCATGGTCCCCTGCCCTAGAGATTTTCCTTCTGATATTCTGCATCTGTGGTGATGGTGGGGGTGGCACCCATTGCCTATTCGAGAACCCCAGGAGGTGTCCTCACCTCCATATTTTTCTTCTTTCCCCTCTTCCCAGTGTGTTAGTCAGCAAATCCTGATGGTTTTATCTGTCCATGGAATGAAACCTGCAGGTGGGCTGTATTTTGTCTGAGTTTAGTTTTAGTGATTTGGCACTGTTTTATCATTTAGTCCATTTTAAAGTTTGGGGACCCCCCCCCCAAACCCTCGTTATAAAGTTCAGCTGTTTAACCAGGGTAATTTTAAAACTTTCTCTCCTAGACACCATGCCACAAGAAGAGTGACTACTTCTTCCATTTTCACAATGGAGGACTCTGGGAAGACATTCGGCTCTGAGGAAGAAGCAGCTAACTACTGGAAAGATCTGGCTATGACCTACAAACAAAGGTCGGTTCTCCAGAGTTCACCCTGCGTTTTCTTCCCATAATGATGGCAGCAGTCATTTTGGGGGGCATATTATCTGATAAGCAATGTGAAGGCTTAACATACATTATCTCAGTTAAATCTCAAAACTACCCCATGAAAAACAAACAAAACATGATCTTCCCATTTTACAAGTGAGGAAACTGATCCTTAATGAAGGCAATAACTTGCCAGGTCGCACAGCCAGTAAGCAGCAGAGATAGAATTTGAACTCCAAAGCCTGCGGTCCAGTAAACTACTACTTCCCATCTTATTTTTCTGGCAGGGTTTTATGAATTCCTCGATGCCATATCTGGTCAGTACTTCATGTCGGGGGAAAGAACTCCCTGAATCTAGCAAAATGGGTTGTTGCAATTTTAAAAACCTGAAACCATTTTTTCTGTGCCCATATCTGGGAGGTGCTTGTGTGTGTGTGTGTGTGTTAACATGCCATTGAGTTGGTTCCAAGTCCTGGCAACTCTGTAAATGAATGATGTCCAGAAGGTCTTGTCTTCAACAGCCCTACTCAGTTCTTGTAGACTCAAGCTTATCGTTTTTATGGAGTCAGTCCATCTCCTGTTTGTCTTCTATTTTTCTCAGCATTATTTTCTTTTCCAAAGAATCCTGTTTCTCATGATGTGTCCAAAGTAGCTTCAGTTTTGTCATTTTTTGCCTCCAGTGATGTTTCAGGCTTAATTT